ATTGTTATGTTTCACTTCACGTTGTTGAAGTTTCCTTAGTTGATCTAGTTTCTTATTGTGTATAACTTCTTTTCTTGATTCAGCAATGAGTTGTTTTGGTTGATAGCGCGTTGTATATTGCCGTAATCATCTAGTTCGAGGTAGCAGGCTAGTTGGTGGTCTAATTTCTGTTTGAGTTTTTGTAAGTAGTCCAGTTCTTGATATTTGGAATTCAGGGTTGCTTTTAGAAGTTTTTTTCTGCATCTATATCTATTATCTATATATCTATTAAAAACACAGTCATTTTAAACAAAGAACCCAACATAAACAAACGAAAAATCAAGGAATCCATCTTAATTGCATAAAACAACTCTACTCTAAACCAACATGCCTAGATACCTCTTCTAACTTTCGCAACAGTTCTGGTCATGTGACTTCTTTGTTCAATACTATATACATATATCCAGTGTCAGTGTAAATTACCTGTATCTGATGGTGACAAAACCTTATCGAAACGTTGTACATTTGCTATTATGTTAAACTTATATTAAAGTTTTTCTTCATTATTCATTCAAGCCGTCTCCAGCCATTATTACTTAACATTTTGTTATTCAATAACAAAAGATAATAACGTTGAAAAAACACCAAGTAAAGAAAAATCTATTCACCATGTTGAGAGCCTTTCTCTTTAACAGGTAGATCTTGAGTTTTTTTCTCCCAGTGAGCGTTGAAAGTGAAACAATTTCCAAAGACCGCATTCCACGATGTTGTGAAATTGCTGTCGAATTTTAAAAGTTATGAATGTGTCTTCCTAAACGTTTAACAGCATCTCGTAAAATTATACATATATTTTTATATATGGTTAGGGTGAAAAGTTTCTTTCTTGTTAAGCACAGAGCTACATAGCTACACAAAATAGGTCTATTCTGTGGATAAAACATAAAAGTTATCTAATTGCTAATTAAATTTTTGCTATTGCCTTTATCAAATAATGTGAGATTTTTTTTTTACTTTTTGCAACTAATAGTATTTTTTATCATTTTATGAATGTTAAACCTAATTAAATTCACATCTGTTAATTATGTTATAACAGTAGGAAATGTGTTATTGAATCACATAACAACATGACCAATAAAATAAGGGTAGTTTCATTAATACTTATCGTATATTTCATCAAACTGTACGTACCGGAAGCTGCACTGCTCTTCATCATAGCTACACCCGATGATAATATCTTCAGCGTGGAAATGGAGAGTTTCTCGTACAGATTTTGGCAGTGAAATGTAACTAATCTCCCTTTTTGACATATCTTTTTCCATGTGCGTCATATCGTCGATAGAACGGTCGTCTTTGAAACAGGTAATAAATACGAAAAGAGCCTAATGGGTTTTATAAAATATTTTTATGAAACATAAATCTAAATGTCTGTATATATATATATGCAGAGAGAGAGGGAGATTTGCTAATCTAAAATGTATGAAAAACAATCATCAGTTTGATGTTTCATCAATTCGTTAAAGCATCAATCCTGATGTTAAACAGATGTTTGAAAAATAGATTGGCTAAATCATATGTTACTTCATCTATTTACCTTGCTATTTTATTGCCAACAAACAATCTGCTTGTTTCATTTCATATCAACTGGAATGAACCATATCGGAATTATTTACACGAAACAAAACACAAGACTCTCATAGAAAAAATAATACATTGAGTGATATAAAAACTGCTAAAAGTTGGCTTCATTACACCTGAATGAGGATTTTCTGTGCTATTTTATTATGCGATTCTACTAACTTTAAACATTTCCTGTCATAATACAAACCGAGATATAACTTATGTTTCAGAGCAACAATCATAGTATCGAAATAAACGTCATACACGCTATTTCGATTAATTTTCTATTGTAATTAAAAAGAATACATTGATAGTAATATAAGTAAATATTCTGAGATTAAATTGTCATGCAATTTCCGAAAAAATATAAATTACCACTCTACATTTATTAAATACCAGAAAAGTGAATTATTTTCAAATATAAGGAGAATATGAAATTGATGAAATTAAGTACATTTTGGGCAGAAATATAATACACAAAGTAATCAAAAGATAAATAGAATGCATGGTGTTTTAACTAAACCAAGACAAAATAACTGGTCTAAGATGATGTCGCAATCTGAGGGTCGCGGGTTCGAATCCCCGTCACACTAAACATGCCCGCCCTTTCAGCCGTGGGGGCGTTATATTGTGACGGTCAATCCCACTATTTGTTGGTAAAAGAGTAGCCCAAGAGTTGGCGGTGGGTGGTGATGACTAACTGCCTTCCCTCTACTCTTACACTGCTACATTAGGGACGGCTAGCGTTTGGATCACATGACAATCCAACATATGCCTGATTTGTATGGGAATCAACTGAAGATGTTATCGGGTCGAGTGCCCTAACCACCTGGCCATGCCGGGCCTTTCTTTAGTATTCTTAAGAATACTCTGGGTATTATGTTATTTTGCTCTGGGTAAAAATAGCTGCAATTATACATGGTAAGTGATGTTCGTTTAAAAGAATCCTACTATAATTAGATATAAATTTATTTATTTATCCTCTGACATCTCTTATGCTTTTACTCTGTCACATTCATTTGTAATAACGATGGTAATAAAGAAGAACAACAAATGACAAAGTCTGTTCGTTAAACAAAGTTCCGAAATTTTACTGAAAATATAAAAGATTTTAAAATCTTACCAAATAAGGTTTGAATGTTTAATTAATGAAAGAAACCAATTTATTGTAAAGTTATCTGACTGTAAGGTTCAAAAATAAGTGTTAATATGTCTCTATACGATAGAAAACCAAATTATGCTTTTATTTGTAATTTTATTTTACATTTCTGAAAATTCAGTTGCATCCTGAGATAGACATCAATATTTTCTAGGTTTTTAAGATAAAATATTTCCCAAAAAAATACCAACAAAATTCAACAGGACCAAATTGTTTCAACAGTATTTAGTGAAGAGGAATCGGCCCCCAAGTGGCACAGCGGGATGTCTGCGGACTTACAACGCTAGAAACCGGGTTTCGATACCCGTGGTGGGCAGAGCATAGAGAGCCCTTGTGTGGCTTTGTGCATACTTAAAAACAAAACAAACTAAAAACGAAGAGGAATCGACTTTTTGAATAATACCTTGAATGTTTAATTTACAAGTAGAAAGTTCAATTTTGTTAATAACACAAAATTAGGGACTATGGTACATGAATTGTCATATATATTATAAATTATACAAAATATATTAACATATGCTAAAATATAATTTAATTGCCTGTTTACAATCGTATGTGAATAAGAAACTTTCACTTCCATCAATTTGAAATACAGAGCAGCAATGTCACTTTTATTTCAATAATATTCAAAGACAATCCATTATTTATTACATATACAAGTTATTTTTATTAATAATTCATAACTATGTTAATATTTTAATCGTTATGTCACTTTTATTTCAATGATATTCAAAGACAATCCATTATTTATTACATGTACAAGCTATTTTTATTTAATAATTCAGAACTATGTTAATATTGTAATCTTTATGTTTTTAATATTATTATGATGTATATAAACTTTGAAATAAGATTTTTTTCTTTTTTTAACATATAGGTTTCAGAAAAAATACTCATAAAATTTCAGTAGGTAATCTTAGAAAAGTAAAATGTTTAAGCTTTCTTCTTTTTTGGAAATTGTCATGTATAAATAAATGCATTCACAAATAATCAAACTACGTGGCATTCATTTTTTCCAAGCACTATTACAATAGCCGAAATATTCCTTATGTCGCTGCAACGGATTTTGGCAAAAATATTATATAACTCAGGAAGAGAATTACTTTCAAACGTATAACTTAATAGTAGTTTCGGCTTTGTATTAGACACATTTAGTAATATCTGAGATTCATCCAACTATATTAGAATCAATGAAGCAACATCATCAGATATAATGTTTAGCTCAGATAACTGACGAACTGATTAAAAGGAGTAAGAGTGTTGGACGAATGTTTGTTGTAAACATGAATGTGAGTAAACTATACATAAATTATGCATCTATCAGAGTGATTTCTAGTTATTGGTTTGTTTGTTTTAGATCAAAGTACATTGTTGTGTCCACCACGGGGAATCGAACCGAGAATTTTAGCGTTCTATGTTCATAGACTTACCGATAGAAACGTCGTACCTCTCTGAAATCAACATTCTATCTCACTGTAAAAGCTGCATTTTCTAAAATAAATTCTTATTTGTTTGTTTATTTGAAGTTAAGCACAAAGATACAAAATGTGCTATCTGTGCTCTTCCAACCACGTTGTAAGTCCGCAAACATACCGCTGTACAAAAGTATAATTAGTAATGAAAAATATTATGTTTTGACTACGAAAACATTGCCTACAAAATCTACTTCAAAGTTGTTATTACTAAGAAAAGTATATAAAAACTAAATTAAAAGACGAGAAACAGACATTTAAAATATAGTTGATATCGAAGATTACTACTTACTGTTATTTTTGGTGTGTTCATAAATTGGCCCGCTGGACTCAACGTAGGAGTGGCTTTACTATTTAGTATATTGCAGAGAGACCAAATAGTATAATTTTCCACATCACTTTCGTATTTATTTATGCAATTTTTAACCCCTGAAGAGCTAATTCTAGATAAACAATGAGAAAAAAATGATGTAAACATCATTATTTAGCTATTTTATGTTGTTTTATTGTATGAGAAAGTAACCATGATACATATATTTCAAAGATATAGTAGAAAAAAAATCATTTAACAATAAATAGAAATATATCAACAGATTACAAGTAGAAGTAAAAAATAAATTTACAAAGTAGAAGTAAAAATTATCAAATGTTTTACAAACAAATGAAGTAGAAGTAAAAATTATCAAATTTTTTACAAAAAAATGAAGTAGAAGTAAAAATTATCAAATGTTTTACAAACAAATGTAGTAGAAGTAAAAATTATCAAATATATAAATAAATGCTGTATATGACATAAATCAAGAAACTAAAATCTGCTTCAAGAGAATAAAAACTTAGGTAAAATACAAATTAGTTTCTTGTGGCTAAATTTCAGGAAGTTTCCCCCGTGGTTCAACCGTAAGTTTATTGAGTTATAACGCTAAAATTTGGGATTCGTTTACCAGCAACAGAGAGAGAGATCAGGCAGCCCGTTGTGTGGTTTTGTGTTAAATAACACCAAATTTCATTTAAAGTCTTTTGACTTACATAAACACGAACAGTTATTATTTCTTCATGTTTTAGAATCTCGTCAAATATTGAAGAGGCTTCTTTGTAACTGAGTCACAAACTAAAATAACAGTGTAGGAATTATGATATACCTAAAAAACGTACTGTAATTTTGTATGGCTTTCGTTTTAATATATATATAAGAGAAACTAATAAATGAGGTATTACTATATATCGTGTATTACCATTGGGTTACTTGATAAGTTTGTGTTAAGCACAAAAGGGGGTTATTAGGGGTAAACCCACTATGGGTGTCAAAACTCGACTTTTAGCGTCATAAGTCTAGAGATTTACATGTTAGCCACTAGGGAAAGTGTATAATATCATTAAATATCGTGGAATATTGAAAATATAGCATTGTAACAATGGCATGCAGAATAAAATACGATGGTAGTAAATAGATAATATATGACAAAATAGATTGTAATAAAATAGACATTACATTTTAAAATATACAAACATCTTAATATACAAAACATCATTAAATATTGTTGAATATTAAAAATGTAGCTTTGTAACAACGGCATACAGAATAAAATACTAGGGTAGTAAATATAGTATACCTCAAGATGGATTGTAATACAATAGACATTATATTTTAAAATATACAAAAAACTTATTAATCGTGGAATATCAAAGAGATACCTTTGTAACATATGAATTCACACTAAAGTAATTTTTTTAATTATATCTAAAAATTGATTGCAACGGAATAGAGTTTGTGTTTTAGAATATGCAAAACATTTTACCAAATGAAAAATTATCATTACATCACATAATTTCTAAAAGATAGCTTTAAACCAATTAAAGAAAGAATTTATGTTTTAAAAAATACAAAATAATGTATTAAAAGAAAAATTATTATTATATTTCGTGGAATACTGAAGAGATAGCTGTGTGGCATTAAAATACAGACACCGCTATTAGTATAGTAAATATAGTATACCTAAAAACTGATTACAATTGAAAAATTGTTTTAAGTATATAAAAGAAGCTTTAAAAAGAAGTATTATTATATTTCATAGAATATTGAATAGACACTTTCGCAACAATACCATATAGACTAAAATACAAGTGTAATAAATATAGTATATCTTAAAACAGGTTTGTAATATAATATAGTTTAGGCTTTAAAACACACACAAAAGCTTATTAATGGAAACATTGTTTTCACTCGTGAGTAATTGAAGAGACATATTTACCAAAATAACAGTAGAGTAAATATATTATAGATAACAACTGTTTGCAACACAATAAAGATTATATTTTAAAACAGTCTATTAAACGAAATATTTTTAAAATATTTATTTAATAGTATAATAATACTTATAGTGCTGGTAGACATTTCCAAGGTAAAACGCAAAATTCAGAGAAGTTTAACAAATATAAGGTTATAGAGAAATTTATTATGTGCTCCATTTTGTCTTGTTTATTCAAGCTTCCAATTTCTCTTATCTTCAAGTTATCCTTTTAGTTCGATTTCAGTGTATATATGGTTAAGTAGACCTTTGGCCAAATTATCGATCGTATGTTCCTCGTTTTCAAAATTATTCTATATGTTGGAGTTTATTTGAATAATACAACTAATAAAATTTTTATCGAGCTTTTTTGTTTTTGTTTTTGGTAATGATATGATTGTGAGAAAAACTTCATTTCGGCTAAAAAGTGGAATACATGAATATATATGAAAATTAAATGAACGTTTTAAATTCACCAGATGATGCTAAATTAACTGTGAAGAAACATTATTTTTTAGATTTATTTATGTTTCTAACTTTCCACTCTTCAACCGTTATAAAGTTTTTAATCTCATGTATTATAGTCCTACGTGAAGTTTTCGTTAAGATATGGCTGTGTAACATTTCTGTCAGATTACACATATATTCAACATCCTAGATCGTTCAGATTACACAGTATATTCAACATCCTAGATCGTTTCCACGTTTAATATAAGGGATTCTTAAAGTGGTCTAACGTAATACATTTATTCGTCTTCTCATACTGATACCAGCTGATCAAGAATTCACGTTATTTTGAGAATATTTTGTTCAATGATATCCATTTTTCATCGCTGTAATGTCAATTAACTATCAGAAACGATAGCTATTGGTTAGTATATAAATAAGTTACTTTTAACTTTTCGTTATTTAAAATTCACAAACCGGAGAACAGATAGCTAAATATTAAGACTCAAGTGGGAGGGGGGGAGTAGTCCAGTTCAATAGGGTAAACTATAACCAATAAGTTTTTCAAAGCATCATTATATTTTAATTCTTAACAAACTTTTCCTTTAAGAATATATATATAGACTGATATCCAAATTAAATATTTTAGGACAAAGAGGCCTTAGGAATTCTGGTTATTAATTTCTCAGTAGGGTTAGAGATGCTCTAAGTTGTTTTAAATGTTATCCGTTAAAAAACAGAGAAAGATTATATGCACTTAGGTAAGTATATTTTAGACAATACATTGTTTAAAAATAATTTTCTGTCTACTTGCCCGATGACATTGCTAATAACAGAGGGGATGACTACTACTTTACTGCAGGGGATTGCTATAAAATGTCTTTCCTTCAAAGATAGTCCACTACAGCTATAATCGTCACATGGATTTAGATAGATAATTTCTGTATTGGTTTATCATTACAAAATTTTGTGCTTAAAGTAAATAATATATATATATATATAACGATACAGTTTTAGGCAAATCACTGAATGGGCAATATTTTCTATTAAAAAACATTGAATAGCTAAATAATTTTTATTTTCAGTACAAGAAACAGTTATATCAGAACTTAGATGACAAAGCATAAAAAGCATTGAAACGAGAAACAATTTCATTTGTTATAATGAAATAAATTTTATACTATTTGTAATGATTACGTATACTCTTTATTTCCTAATGAAATAAGATAAGAGGTAATACTGGATGTATCAAAATTACCTAAAGTTCAAATGTTTCAAAGAATTTATTTTCTTCTTTTCATAATATTAAACTAGATTTGAAAAGAATGGTATATCTTATCTCAAAGACAGATAGACATTAATATGCTATAATTCAATCATATGTACCTGTTATAGTTACAGATCGTGACAGCAGGGAATGTTAAGTTTTCTCCCATGTCCATCTCCACTTTTAACACGGATGGATAGGCAAAGTAGTCGTCCAGGAAAGCTGCGAAGAAGTAAATACACAAAGCAACAGACGCCACCTTTAAGGCTCCTGTTAGAGCAAAATATAATACTTGAGAAGCTCTGAAGTTCTTTATTTTCTCTCTGATCCAGCTTGCACTATACATTGTGGCCGCTTGACAGCTTTTCAAAGAATAAAGAGCTGTTGGGTAAAATAAGCTATTTAAGGCTAGTTTACAAGTTATATATTCCATTCAAGGCGACAAGCACAATAATAATACAATTACGACTTCATAATTTGCTAGACAAACAACGTCAATAGCTGTTGTTAAAAGCATTTCTAAATTCGCAGTCATAAAAAAAACATTACGAAACAAGTCATTAAAGACATCAAATACATTCAAAATCTACACTATTATCTAATGCCGTATTTGTAGAAGCTTTCAGTAATATTACTCGAGACCTCACAACGCCATTATTGTTTTTTAATGGTATAATATAATCAGCTTAGGATATTTAACCTTACTTGCATTGACATTCCCTATCTAGAAGCGAGCGTCATTGGTTGAGATTTCTCTCAAATATCTATATCCATTTTATTACTTGGCAAATATAAATGTAGTTGTGTAAGTATACACGTTTCTCAATAACCATATAATTCTACCAAAGCACAACATTAACGAGGCAAAAGTTTAACATAATAAAACAGATTACGCTTGACAAGTCTGGAAAATGTCTTCGAAGGTACACGCCCTAAAGATGAATAATTAGCTGTTTACTACCAATGGAGCAAATAAGTATTTGGAGAAAGTAACAGGAGTGGCTATTTTAGGTTATACTTCATAAGCTCAGCTCAAGAAGGAGAAGCTAGCATGCAGTAAACCCAACACTTAATTTGTACTTTCGTCAACGTCGACATAACTAGCGTGAACGTCAAATGTTATTTTCACGTGTTAATAATCCTCCTTCGACTAGACATTGTAGCACTTTAGTCTCAAAACTAACGTCGCAACTTTGGTGACGGTTAGTCATGAAGCAGAGATACTAGAATATGTGGGCGTGATATTGGACTCAACAAGGTGAAATTTCAATGAGACAGAACTTAATATTAATGTGAAACAATACCTGTTTGTTTTTCTGACAATATTATGATGAACTATGTTGGATAATTGACCACAGGGGTCAAGAATGTTCCAGCAAGACATCCTCCTGATCCAAATCCTATATCACTCTTCTGGACGGCCCGGCATAGTTAGGGCGCTTGACTCGTAATCTTAGGGTCGTGGATTCGAATCCCCGTCTCACCAAATATGCTCGCCCTTTCAGCCGTTTGGGCGTTATAACGTACCGATCAACCCCACTATTCATTAGTAAAAGAGTACCCCAAGAGTTGGCGGTGGGTGGTGATGACTAGCTCCTTCCCTCTAGTCCTCGTGTAGCTTTGCGCAAAATTCAAAACAAAACCTCTTCTGGAAGCTTGGTTGGTGCCGTGTACGTCAATACCTTAACTGACCACGTGGCCTCAGAGTCATTGGCATTGCTCTAACTGAAAAGTTGGACACAGGCATGTGTCCCGAAGATGAGATTGGGAGGTGCGCGTGTATGTGAAAGAGAATTTAAATATAACGTGCTTAAATTCTATATCTTTTAACAAGCGATATGTTATCAGCAAAAGTGATTTATTAACATATTGAAATAATAAATAGTGCTCCTAAAATATAACTTGGTCATTTGTTAATGGTCAAATTTACAATGAAATTCATGTCACTTCAAGTTGTTGTATTTTTAGAAAATTGTGTTGTTGTCACAGTGATATAGATAATAATTTTTAATACACCTTACTCCACTGGCCACATAAAACGTTTTTTTTCTAGTAAAGAAGATAATCGCGTCTCTAAGAACATATTTAACTCAAGTACAATCTATATTTGTATAAAACCATCCGCGATGCTCATAAAATCATCAAACCAATCCATTATGTTTATAATTATATTTCAAGATTCCTTACATTCCTAGAATTCAAGCAAAATCTTAGTTGAGAATATTAGTTATGAATAATCTACTCTGAAAATGAAATAGTAATGACTTTCTGAAATTTATAGAGTCAAATGTATTAGTTTGTAATTCAAAATTTTAATTCTCTATAAGTTTATTGGTGACTTTGCTATTTAGGCAGAGCACAGATAGCCCTTTGTGTAGCTGTCTGCATAACTACAAAACAAACAATTTAGGAAATGGAATGGTCATAGCTGCTTCTATAAGACAGACAGAAAGAAAGCTAAAAAGAAGTATAATAGAACTCGTGCATACCTATTATGAATTGTTTCTTATGTTCATCTCCACTTCTATCATGTAAAAAAGGCACATTAGTCTTTCAAGAAAGTTGTGATGTGTCTGACCCCACCAGACCAAGTTTCTGTGTTACTCACTGGTACGGCTTGAAATATGGTAACTTGATAGTTCTGCTAACACTGGATAACGTTTATGTAAAATTTTACGGTACTTTTAAGGTACGTCTGCAAGTCATAAAAATAATTTATAGCGTCAAGTAGAGCAAAATCATTACGATGCTATTAATTCCTTGACAAACAATGTTAATATCTGTTCTTTGTAGCATATTTAATTTCCTAATGAAGTTTACTCATTAATATGTAATAACAAGACATCAAATCATGAAATTAATTTCACAAATTAGCAAATTATATAGCGACGTTTTCTTGTGGCTTTAAATATATATGTATATAGAGAGAGACTTCGCCAGGTTGTACATCTGGTTTCTTTTAAGGTACATCATAATCGCATGAGGCTATAAATTAATAAGTTAGTTGTTTGGCAGCGGCGTTGAGTACTAGGAAGTGACTATCGCTGATATTGGTGTTGATCGTCTAAATAACAAATCGCTTTATCATCCACTTAAATTAATCCAGTTTTTCATAACTTAAGTTATAATTCAAATTATCTTATAATTACATAATTATGTAACACAATTAAGTAAATGGGCAAAACTTTTGTTAGATCTCAGAAGTTATACATTATTTTAGTTCCAAATATCTAAATGTCATTAGATGAGTACCCGATTCATGTGATCTGTTGCAAGAACACAAAGATATTTTAATGTGCTACTCGCCCTGAAAACCCAGTTCTTACATTTCGTCTTGCACTTTATCATTTACTGTTCTAGTGATCTCATCAAGATTTATTGTTATATTCGCGTAATTGACTGACATAGAACCTAGTGATGGCAGTCGTTTTTTTCAATCATAATACACAATACCAAAGCTGCTCAAACTTTAGATACCAATAATACAGAGATGGGGTCAGTTCTTTTTGATGTATGTAGGTCTGCAGCAGGAAGAATATTTACACGTTGACAAAGAACAAGTATTTATATCAGAAAGCCAGGTAAATGTCTTGGGAGGTTAACAACACCACGTAATGTCACCTAACTTAAGGACAGCATGGTTATCAGAAGTCGCCAGTACGATCACTTCACGTCAATATGGGCTCAACAACATCATTATTATAAGTGTCCAGGTTGTAAAGAACATACTTCTTGAGTCCGAACTGAGGAACAGATGGCTTCAGTCACACAGTTGACCATATAGTTCATTTGGATTTTCGTCAAGATCCCCACAGTTCGAAGACATGCTATTTTACACCATTGTAAATTTTCAAAAATGTGTCAAGTTTTCTTTCTTCTACCAGTGATTGATGGGGTTTTGCTGGAGAGCCAGTTCAATGTTATCGAACATGAATGGTTTTGTGGAGGTTGCTTATAATTCATTTGTTTTCAGAAATAAGCTATTTAACGATTATCTGCAATAGTTGTTCCTAATTTTGTACCAACAGACTCTTGGGCTACTCTTGTCTCACCACACCCATGGCCCCAGAGTGAAGAGCGTGATTATTTTCTTTTTTTTCTCAATGAAGGGCCCGCAGATGAATTCGTGTAATATGTATTCTAGCACACTAACTACTGGGCCACTTTTGACCTGATTAATTATGAAGTAGAAAGACATTATTATAACTGGACAAACAGGTATTATTATACATTCAAGTACAGGATTAACTGCCTGATATTATATTGACATGGTACTGGACTTAATTGTACAACCCTACAACAACGTTAATCAGTGAAGAGTAATACAAATTCCAAAATGCCGTGATTTTGTTGAATTACCTCGGTAAAGAAGCCATGAATGCCATCTATCTGTCAGCAGAAAGTAATGAATTGAACCTTATAAAGTAAAGCTAGGAATATCTTGAATACCATATACGTCAATATCTTAATCAATACATTTGGAAACTCCTTGGATTACGTATATGACAACACCTTAATTAATACATCTGGAAAGACCTAGGATCCTGCATATAGCAACACCTTAAATAATACATCCAGAAATTCCTTGTATCATGTATACTTATATGTTTATGCTATGAACTGTACTTTTAGTTTAGTTTTTGGTAATCTAGTCTTCTCGGTGAAAAAGTAAGTACAACATGAGTTTATTTATTCTACTACTAAGTCTAATGCTTGACAGCTCAGATAGTTAGATGCTAAAAACTTGCTACGATCTATCGCTAATATTTTGTTATCTAATTGATGCATTTTAGCTTTTGTCTATTTTACCATATCATCTAACAACAAACACTTTATACAAATAATATATTTTACAAACCAATCATAAGGAAATGATTTTATGTTTTACATTATATTGCAAGAGGATTTATACATATTTATAGTCACATTTCTTCGAGACAAAATTTGTATAATCAGAGATTTCTTGAAAGACTAGAAATGTAAAAGTGACAAGATTTTATTGTTTAATTATTATTCAACCAAATGAGTAACAGAACTGAAATGGGAACATATATTACGAAGCAACATTTTCTCACAGAGTACACTTAACGAACAAGTTTCATTTGAAGTTCCTAACTCTTTTTAATTAGATTTTTGCCTCGTTGTATAACACTTCTTATCAGTTGGTAAAAACTGTATATGGATCATGTTCCCATACTTTAACTGGAGCAATTCGAATCTTATTTCGTTACCTGATTGGTTAGTTGAGGTATTGACCACAAAGTTATTTATTCTTTTATAGCAATGAAAATTTCCTGATATAACAGAAACAGAAATAAAAACCAAATGATATGATATAATATTATCGGTACGAAGGTAGTTTCCCAAACTTATTTATTCTT